TAAATCAGTATATAATAGCTCTGAGTTTGTTTCCTTACCTATTAAATAAAGATAACCCAGTTATACAAATCCAAGTAAATATAAAGATAGTCATCATTATCAAAAAGTATTGGTATTTTGACTACCAAATAGAGGCTAGAGGTGCAGGAGGATCTATGTTCCAAATGGACAATGGACATGGCCAGCCCAGTGTTTTTGAATTTGGATGTCTCTAAGGATGACATTCAATCTTGGGCCTCACTGTCCACCTCTGGGACTTGACTTGCCCATGCCTGGAGGCATTTGAATATGTCATTTTGGCCAGAACTTTGATAATGGACTTGAAGGTCTCTGAGAAAAAATAAAAATCCAGAAACTGCTAGTTTCTCGAGTAGAGCTCAAGTAACAAAATACATCTCAACCCCCACATTTGTGATTTTTTAAACCACACTTCTCTTTGAGCTGCGTACTCTGCATGCAACGTATTCTTTCTTAGTAACCATGCCAAAATCGGAGGTATTTTAGTGAGTGTTAAGAAAATAAATCTTAAGTATTCCAAATTCCACATTTATATTTCTGTATGAAGATGTAATTGCTGACGCAATTTTGTTAAAAGCTTTACCTGAAAACTTCCATCAAAATACAGAAAGGGTGCAAGAATGGTTTTAATCTCAACGTTAGCTCAATTGAAAGAGAAAACACGGAAGCCACCTCAGCTTAATAACTTGCTGGTTCTTGATCAATTCACGGCACGACAATAAACCACTCAGAATGAGTTTTGAAAGTGAGGTTATGCCCTTCGTGTTGTGTCATCACTGTGGCAGATCACACGGCTGACTTGGACCTTTCCGCCAGCATCGGAGCAGCTGCCTCTATGAAGCTGCTGTCACCGACGAGTCATGGAGCCTGCGTGTACCTACACGGACGCACGAAATTGAACTTGAAGCAGTGTCTTTGTGATATCTTTTCAACAAGTCATGTCCCATTCAGCCCGCTAGTTTATCTCTGTCAGGCTGGAGGCCCAAGTGGCTCACAGGAGCTGTCAGGGACAGGTAGACCAACCTGCTTAGTGCTGAGGAGGTAATGCATCTTTCGTGCTTGGTAATCTCTCTTCTTCTCTTCCCTTTCGAGGTTAGCCTTCTTCTCTTCTCTGTCTTTCATTTCTGCAAACTCCTCCAGTGCCTCCCTGCATCAGAACCGTCTACGGTTATTTATGATACTATTTGCTAACATTTTAATTCATTCACTGATGATAATCAAGTAAGTTTTTTGAGGGGCAACCATCCTCCACATCCATCAAAATCAGCGGTGTAATCTATCTTACCTGCATTTTCGACGTGAATCTTAGCAATCTTTAAGAAAGCATTTAAGTGATGTTTCAGTGATTAAGTTTTTAAACTCCAATGCCTATATGTTAGAATTACTTCGAAGCTAAGGAAATACTCATATAAAACACAAA